CTGTACTTCAGTTTTCTTATCTATAAAAATGGAAAGCATATTTTTCCTAAGTCACAGTGAAAAATCAAACTGTACAAAAGAGATGTCTATAATCACAAACTATTTCTCAAAGTGTGTAGAAGCCTGTGTCACTCACTGATAGGTAGTAGCTTAGAGTCATGTGGAAAATTATCCATATAATGTATGTTTGGGAGATCAGCACATGAGAAATGTCTGATTTGGTTCTTCAAAAACATCTTAGAGAAGCAAGCATTAAATATTGTATCAGGCTTGAAATAATCTATTTTTCACACAAGCATAGTTCAGTATAGAAATGTGGTAGGAGAAATCTACTCTGATAAAGAAACCACAGGTTTATCTTTCTATGAAGTTAACCTATAGCCTGGAATATGAACAGTAAGCAAGAAACACTATTACAAAAAACAAAGGAAATGACATATCTGCCAAGAGGGTGCAAGAGGTCTGGAGGACAGACCTTGCCAGGAGCAAATGACAGCCAGAAGTTAGTGGACAGAAAGGGAAGAAAAATGTGATGTCCTTATCACCCAATGGCAGGTCATCTAAGGTTTTGTAGGTCATGGTAAGGGGTTTGCATCTTATTCTAAATGCTTTGAAATACCACTTCATTAAAAAAAAAACATAATTCCTGGGGTTGGCGACTTATCTCAGTAGTAAAGCGTTTGCCTAGTAAGTGTAAGGCCCTGGGTTTGGTCCTCAGCTCTGGAAGAAAAAAATTCCTAATTCCCTACTCTACATAGTTTAGCTTGTCATATGTCACAGGCCAATTGTGAAGAAATTGGGTGGAAATCTTAAAAATCCATGCCAAGCATGACAATATACTTCCGGAGATGCTGTCGCTTTGCAACAGCCCTTTGATTTTTCTCCAATTTGTGCTTTAGTCCTTAAAGCCTCCCACATATTTCCACAGATGGTTTGCATATCATGTACCACCCTCGAACTCACGCACCCACACCATTCCCATATATGTATTGCCCTGCTACAGAATTCTTATCCCTCCTGCTGTCACCAAGTTCTTGATCAGATTCCTATCTTACTAAGTCCTGGGATTGCCCACAAAACAAAAGTGCTTCATAAGTATTTGTTAAATGGATAAGTATATGTCTAGTGTTTCTTGGCAGTCAAAGAGCCTCAGAATTAACTGGGTACATTTAAAGTATATATGTCAGGGTCATGTCTCCAGGGGCTGCCATTCACACAGTTCAGTGTATTGGCTATAGAAGTTGCTGGGTAATCCTGATGTTCACTTAGTGCAGAGAACCCAGGGCAGGACTGATACTGGAGTATCTCCTGGGACTGCCATACCCACCTGTTACTTTAAATGCATGTATCTGTCTGTCTTTCATGCTTACTGAATCCACAACAGAAATTACAGTATTTACTCAGTCTTTAAAGTTATTAAAAATAATTGAGGGATCTATTTTATGTAGGTAGTGAGGAAGACAGCACTGTGACATTTATTTTTAATATATTATTTATTCTTTGAAAATACCGTACATGTATACAGATCACACACACACACACACACACACCTCACACACACGTGTACACACTTCCACTCCAGCTCATCCTAGCCTTCTATCATATCTTCCTCTGGAAATCATGTCCTTTATGTCATCACGTTCTTTATCACTGAGCCCACTTAGTACTTCCAGTATGGACATGGCTATAAGGTCAACTGCCAATGCAAGGGCGACCAATCAGGGGTCACATCTCTGAAGAAAACTGACTCTTCTCCCATCCCTTAATGCCCAGAAATCTAATGGTAAATGGTCTATTGTTAGGGGTGGGGCCACACCCCCATCCATGCTGAAATTTTGATTGGCTTGATCTGAGTGCTGTGATATTTTTCATCCAGGCAGTTAGTTTGCATGGAAGAGGTGCTTTCAGCCAACTTCCTGGTAGACTACTCTCTTAACTAGACAGGTGGAACTTGAGGGCTGCCTTCATTTATTTATTTACTTGTTAATCAGCTATGAACTCCCAAAACCAGGAGGGAATTAGATCACATTTTCTCCAAGTTTTGTATTCAGAAAGTCTGGAGTGATATAAGTGTTTTGATTTTGTAAGAGGAAATTTTGTTTAATTCTATAATAATGTGTATACACTAACATTATTTTAAGACACCTGCTTCAGACTCAAAACGTTGAGGTTGGAGATAATAACAATAAACAAAAATCAAACCAAACCGGGCGTGGTGCCCAGGAAAACTAGCCAGATGACAAGAACTGGGATAGCAATATACTAATTATGGAAATGAGGCTGGAGTGGATCTTCTCCTCTGTGGAATCTTGTTAGGACTTTGGTCATTGTGGGTAGGGTTTCTGACCAGTTAGTCCATTTAAATAACAGACGTTCAGTGGAATTTGCCTCCTTGACATGTGCGTCTTAAACATGCTGGGAATATACAGTGTTCCTCCATTGTGTGAGAGCTTTTATAATGCTATAAACTACTGGGAAACAAACAGACCAGAAGTAAAAATAGGTGTTCAAAAAAACTTTAACTGAAGTCAGAAGGAAAGTCTAGAGTTTCCCAGGATGCTGAAGTGACGTACAATTCACATGAATGGGGAAGGAAATCCTCAGTGTGTTCAGGGGTGGGTCTAATGCATATGTCTAATACACATTTCCTGTTATTGAAAAACAGTCTTTAATATGTTCAGCACGTCTTAGGGCCTATGTATATATCAGATGTGTTGTTTCTTTTAACAAGAAAGTGTAAGTGCACAGCACAGCTATCAGAGAAGCACATTCAAGTCTCTTTTTCACCGAGGGGAGGGTGTGTGTTGAATGGAAAAAGTAATAAAGGAAAGGAAAGGAAAGGGCAGGACACGGCTGATCCTAGGTATGGTAGAGGAGAAAGTTAATTGTACATTAAAGGGGAGCATGGGTACAGGCAGGGACATCTGGGAGAGTACAGCGTGGACCCGACAAAGCTGAGCTGGACCACGTGGAAAGAGGAGGAAAAGGGGGAAAGGAGAGGGTAGAGGGGGGAACCAGATGCAGCAGCCAGGAAGCCAAAGGTATAAAAGGAAAGGTAGCCAAAAGTTTTGGATTATACAGTGAAGAGCCTCTGGGGGAAGGGCAGCCCAGCTCCTGGGCTGGAGAGTTCAGGGTAGGGGATGGGATATGCCAGCCACAACCTGTAAGAGTTAGGGACTGAGGGACGCTAGGAGAATCTGGCATCAGGTCTGCTTTGATATATAAATTATGCACTATGGCCATTTGAAACTTAACACAGGAAGGTGTGTGTGGCAAGGGAGGGGTGTAGAAATGGTCATTCCCGTAGGTCGCAATAGTCTAGAGCAGTGGTTATCAACCTTCCTAATGCTGTGATCCTTTAATACAATTCCTCTTGGTATGATGACCTACAACCGTAAACTTATTTTCATTGCTGCTTCAAAACTGTAACTTTGGTACTGTTATGACTTGTAATGTAAATATCCATGTTTCCCAATGGTCTTAGGGAACCCCTATGAAAGGGATGTTTGATGCCCTCCCCCCATCATGACCCAAAGGTTGAGAACCACTGTGCTGGAGGCTGTTGGGAGACGCTATTTGTGATCCTGTAGTTGAATAGTATAAGAATGAAGACTTTCTACCCACAGAAGTAAATGGAACTGGTGTGAAATGTTCAGAACATTTTATCTAAATGTAACTGAACTAATGAACAACAAGCCAAAGCATTGTTTGATGTCTGGAAACATTTGTTAAATTCAGGTTAGGAGCAAAGGGGGATTGTATTAAGGCCATAAAGACAGACTCCATGCTGGACTTGGAGAGTCACCACAGCTACAGGCAGTCACCCCGTTGACTTCTTTCTTGGACTCCCCTACTTCAATATGAGCTGTAGGACAGATGAGCCATAGAGGCTTCATTTAAAACCATATGTGTTTGCATGTGTGTACCTGAAGGTAATTGTGAGATTCCCCATGTGGCTGGGAGCCAAACTCATGTCTTCTGCCAGAGCAGCAAGTGCCATAACTGCTGAGCCCTCTCTGCAGCCCCATAGAGACTTATCAGCAGCTATTAGAGTCTGTTCTTTCTCCCCCTCTTCCCTGGAAACTCTTTTAGCCTCCTGCTGTGTGTCTGCATAGTTGATAAAAATAAAGACAAAATATTCTCGAGATGTATACTCTTCGCAAAGGCAGTGACGGGATCAAGGACATCGTATCCAGTGGTATTTGGCACTTTCCCTAACTCCTTCATGATTTTGCTGTTTATGCTGTGATTTAGAGACTCATTGGAAAGCCTTGTCAAGACCTCTAATTACCCCCTCCACCACCCTTGTGCCTTAAATTAACAAAGTAAGCAAATGCAGGAATGTTTGGGATGCCTCTTTACCAGTACCTGTGCTTAGCTTTGCCTGAGAGGTGGGGCTGCCCACCTGCATCACAAAAGATTTAAAACCACTTAAGGTGGAACGATTGTCCTGGTCCTCAGGTTTAGAGACTAAAAGAATTAATGTTGGAGCTATGCCCAGAATGCTAGCTAGATAGTCTTAATCAGATGTAAAGGATATACAAACTGGGCCGTTCTATAAAGTCAAGTCTATCACTGAAGCTCCAGTATTTACAATGAACAACAAAACTGGAAAGAGGCCCAGAAACTACCCCCAAGGAATTGGTAACCTTCCCCTCACTTAAAATGCAGGCTTCCTAATGAGCCTACCTGAAGTCTGTGGCCCTGCATACTTCTTTCCCTGGGAGCTGTAATTGTGCACTTGTAGCCTCCATGAAATTACTGTAATTCAGTTAAGATATTTTCAGTTCAGTTGCATGGGGACATAAATGAAGCATTATAAACTGCTTGGAAGGAGGAGGTTATGCCTTCTTTTTCTCTTGTATTCACTTCTCACTAAAGACAGCCCCATCTACTCTCCGTGCATTTGATATCATATGAAAATAGCATTTAATGAGGAAATTAGCCAATTTGGCTGCCCACTAATCGGAGTTTTGTTTGGTTTTGTTGGTTTTTTACAGTGACAAACAAGAAACCCACACAGGCATCTATCACGAAGGTCAAACAGTTTGAGGGCTCCACATCATTCGTCCGTAGATCCCAGTGGATGCTTGAGCAGCTTCGCCAGGTTAATGGTATCGATCCTAATCGGGTGAGTGAATTTTCCAATGCTAAGCAAAGGACTTCTCTTTGCATCGTGACCACTTGAGCACAGAGGGGTGGTGATAGCAGTTAGAGTCATTCTTATCAGGCTATTCTCTGTTTCAGTTGTGTTATCAAAACTTCCCAGTCTCTGCTCCTGTCTTATAGGAAATTGTTAATCCCCCATGTGTGATAGGAAACCCCAAGAGACAGCACATGGAAAACTGCTGTCTCCAGTGTATATGAAGACCCAGGCTTATCAAAATTTCATTTGCCTCCCAATGCCAATAAATGAATGATGTTTTAAAATAATGAATTAGGATTCCAACAGAAATGTTTTACGATGTAAGCAGCTATTCAAAGCCCCATTCCCTTTTGTCCACACACTGCACTGTCTCCAAGCATCAATAATGCACTAAAGGAAGAAAAGGATTCCTTTCCAACCTGTACCTAAAGAAACTAATACATAACAATGTGGAAAATGAAAAGCAATGCGTCTTTCTAGTGACTGGTCAGATACCACAGGGTCAGCCCTCTGACACAAGTCTTGACCACTGAAGTACTAGCTTCCTAATAAAGAACAACTTGGATTTATTTGCTTGTAGACTCTTTGAGCTATGGTAAAGATGAAATCTATGGTCCATTTTTTTTTTTGAGTTTTTGTGTTAGCTTTTGCGCCTCTTTTGACAGGCCATAGCTCAAAGCAGAAATTGGTGTAGACTGTGATCAGCAGTTATTTCACTGTCTTTTCCAGGATTCTGCAGAGTTTGATTTGTTGTTTGAAAATGCCTTTGACCAGTGGGTTGCTAGCACGGCCTCAGAAAAGTGCACCTTCTTCCAGATCCTCCACCACACCTGCCAGAGGTACCTCACAGACAGGAAGCCAGAGTTTATTAACTGCCAATCCAAAATTATGGGAGGTAAGTGGGCACCTGCACTATGTAAGGCACTCTATTTCCTGACACTCAGTTTCATATAAGAGGTTGGGTGTGGAGCAACTCAATTAAAAGCAAACAAAAACATCAAAATGCTCAGAATGAGTTGACATGAAGGAGTTTGTGGTAAGTAACACACATCTAGAGGCAAAGTCATACTTTCAGTCTTCCAAGAGAGCTGGTCTTGTTAGAAGAAATTATCAGCTTATCTAATACAGTTTGTACTATGAGAACAAGCTAATCTCCTTACTAGAAAAACCTTGCATATTTACCTCTTTGGTATCTTTGCTATAGTCCTGTTACAGAACACCCCTTTGGGTTCTATCTTCCTATATTTCTTCTGAGGATGCTTTCAAATTCCTTTTGATACTGTCCCCGCTGTCCCTTCTTGTATTGCTTTTTTTTCTAAATCACTGTGATAGGATATTTGACAGAAACACCTGGCAGGAGGGATGATTTTTTTGGTTCACAGTTCAGAGGAATACAGTCCATTCACAGTGAGAAACGCATCCCCAGTTAGGGTGGGTAGAACAGTTGGGTCTGTGGCAGAGGGTGCCTACATTGTAACATTTAGGGAAGCAGAGATAACCTGTAATCTTCAAATTTGTCCATCCCCCTAAATGTGAGCCCCATGTCCCAAAGGTTCTGCAGCCTCCAAAGCAGTGCCACCAACTGGAGACTGAATGTTCCATCTCATAAGACTGTGGAGGGCATTTCATGTTCAGGCTGTACCACTGTCTATCAAAAGCCTTTCCTGTTCATTCAGGAATAGCATACGGGGTGAATTAGTGTTGTAAGCCAGGTAAAGAGGCAAGCACAGGAAATGGAAACATTTAATGGTGCCCACATCTGCCTTTCCTGTGCCAAGGCCTCTTAGGAAACCCAAGCTGCTGAAAACAAAAGCACTCCAATCATTCTAAGTTGGGGAGTTATTTCATAACATTTAACTCTTCACTGACCTATTTTACTGATGTAGAAAAATATTTTTTAATGTACCAACTTTTCCGCCATCAAGTACTGAGAAGATCCCATTAGCGATATTGCATCCTCTTCTTGGCCTCAACTTGTCTTTCATATGACTATGAAGTAGAGTGCATGGTTGATATGCTCATGCTTGCTTTCCTATTCACATATAACATGTTGTATTGATAATACACTGTCTACTTCATTTTCCCAGTGGTTATTTATATCTTAGGCACCTTGGAAGGTATTTATTACACATCAAGGCAGTTCTATACTGTAGTTCCCCTGTTTAGTTATAAAATATGTGGGATGGGGAGTGTCACATATTTTCTTTAAGGTGGTCACTTCATACTGCATGGAAGATATAAGATAACTGTAAAAAAGAAGTATCAAATGCTGACCTATTTGGAAAAGGTAATTGGGTATAGTCCCCTGCTGAGCCTTTGCCGCTTGGAGATCTTCAAATTAATTCTGCACTGAAAGCCCATCCTTAACCCATTTGGTAAATGGAAAAGTATGCTGTTTTGGGACCACTTGTGGCTGTTTTCAGTAAGCAGAGAGTTGCCCAGAAAACCAAGCTTTTGCTCATTCTTTATCATATAGTGTTTGCTCTTCTGGCCTAATGTCAGATTGGTTCCTGCTATGGAACATTTTCTTCATTGAGGTTGGTATATGCACTGGCTTGTATAGTTGTATCTCCTGTGCCTCTTCGAGAGGACCCGCCCTGACCCTTGCACTTCTCTGTATCCCACACTGAGAATGGAGAATCCAGAAGGAGACCCGATTTTGTGGGACACCCTGCATCTTTCACATGTTCTTCATTCCCTTTGAATATACTGGCATTCCTCACAAGTCATCGCCAGTTGTGTCTATTGGTCATTGGCACTATCTTCTATTACCTTCTGTTGCCTTGTGAACCTCAAGGATGCAGCACTGAGATGGAAGCTATATTTCTCATCCCAAGCAGTTAGTATGTATAGTGGATAAAACTAGATTGCTTTCCTACAGTCAGAAAAAGAATAAGCTAATGAGATCAGACACCAGAACTACTTTGCCTCCTATGACTCTAGATGTCTCTTCGGTTTTTCTTATATTTTCTTTTAGTTGTCCCAGGAATGACACCTGATAATAGACTAGAGAATTTCAGTTCTATCATTCTGAGAATCTGTAATTCCTAAGGCTTAGTTTATTGCCTAATTATTTCTTGACTAAGGAATTAAATAATTTATTCTGTCAAATATTGGCTGCTCCTGCATTCCTTAGGAGAACCAGAAAGTCTGTATTGAGCATGTTGTAATTTGCTGGCAGCATATATATCCTTAATGAATGCAATCTGTCTTATTCAAACAGTTGTGTATCTTTGATAAGAAGTGTACTAACACAGCCTAATGAATTAGTACTCTTAGTAGTCTTCCTTTCTTTCAGTTACATAATCCTGAAACTTTAAAATGGTGTTTCTTGGATGACTCTAGTCTGACCCTTTTACTTTTGTGGAGCTGTTCCATCTTCAGCAGACTAAAGTCTATCTAATTTCACAAAATCTTTTCTTATCAACTTGTATTCAGGGCACAATTTGTATTTACAAATGTTCATTTTACTTTGAAATATGGCAGTTTTGTAACTTTTTAGAAAACTATTATCATTGGTGTATTGCCCCCCAACAATCTCTCTACATATGTTATCTTACTTGTCGTGAATACAGTCTTTGGAAATACAATTTATTATCTCTACAGAAAAGGAAACAGAATCAGGGTTATTAACCAGCTAGGGAAGGGTCATTTCACTTGTTAGGAGTGGAGATAAGAGTCCAGCAAAGACTTTCACAGCCCTCACGGCATCTTACTTTGAGAATGCTACATGGATTTAGTGTGGCTGGTGCTCCCTGGGGTTCTGCAGGAATTGTTGTGAACTTTTTAACTAGAACATTCCTGGGGTTTAAAAGAGGCCTGGATAGGAGGAATGAGCTAGAGACTGTTGATAATTTAAGTGCCTTCCTTGTCACTTTGTAGATAGATTATTAATGTAATTATCTTACTTTTTGTCCTAAAATCCATTAATTCATCAATGACCTTTAAAACCCTCTAACTTTGTTTGTTTTGGGGAGGGGGTCAGAATTTCAGTAGATTGGACAGATGAGAACACAGGAAAGATGGTGTGGTTGTGACCATGCACACATCACTTCCCAGAGACTCCAAGTCTGCTTCCAGTGCTGTCCTTGTGGAAACTGAGGCCCAGGGATTTTAAATGACTTTATCAATGTCAAAGAGAGGGTGTCTGTCCCCTGAATAACAGTTTCTTTGATACCAGTTCAATTTAAGGTTATCACTTAAATATCAACAACCCCACGCCTATATTCTCAACTCTGCAGGCCATGTGTGATTGTATTTTTCTTTTTCTCATGGCAGAGGTCAATTACAAGGAAATGAAATCATTGCTTTGACATATTCAAAATTCTCTCCTCCAAAATGATATTTCCTGAGTGCCAAAAGAAAACTGAGACATTTAGGCCTCCTCAGGTTAGTTCATGGTCTGCAAAAGATATGAATCAAGTCTACGTGGTTAGTGGAAGGCCTTCAAAAGCTGGAAGCAAAGCAGCATTCTCTGGGAGATGTAAAAGGGCGTGCGGTGGTAGTCTTCTTCTCTCCAAATAGTTGAAGAATCTGTGAGCTAGGACAGCATTCTCAATCCCATCCCTAGCCTTCTCATTTATTACAGACCAGTCTCCTCAAAATTAAATCTATCCATGAGTTTTCATGATACTTTAATCTGCCTAGCCACTGGCACAAACTGATGGCAGGAGTGGGAGCCAGTGATAGCTGCTGAAATATGGCATGGTGTCCTGACTGGGATCCCTACAGATAAAGCACCAAGTTCACATGAGATTGATATTCTTCTGGAATCATAGTTTTATTTTTCTCTATATTTATTTTACACAAGGATGAGGATAGGACATTATACTCATGATAACATATGTATGCTTGAATCTTTGGGTCCTGAGGAGAGACTTTCATTATTCAGAAATACAGTCAACTCCAAAAGGAGCATTCATTTAGGTAATGGGCATCTTATTTCATATTAATTTAAGGTCCCAAGTCTGACTTCGTTATTTTACTTAACTTTATTACTCTTAGTAAAATGTGAGCTAAACATTGAGCTGAACTCAAGAAACCCAGAGATAGAGAAGGACTGATGAGCATAAGGATCAAGACTGGGTTTGTTTAACACACAGAAACAGCTGACCTGAACAAGGGGGAGCTCCTGAACCCCAGACTGATGGCTGGGAATCCAGCATGGGACTGACCCAGAACCCCTGAATGTGGGTTTCAGTGAGGAGGCCTAGGCAATCTATGGGGCCTTGGATACTAGATCAGTATTTATCCCTGGCATACAAATGGACTTTGGGTGCCCATCCCACAATGAGAGATGCTCTCTCATCCTGGACTCTTGGTGGAGGGTCTAGGCCCTGCCCTGGATGAAATGACAGACTATGGATACCCCCGATGGAGGGCCTTGCTCTCCCTGCAGAAAGAAGTAGGGATTGGGAGAGGAAGGGATGGAAGTGTTGGTAGGAGGAAGAGAAGGAGAGGGAGAAGGACCAGGAATTGACATGTTTCTAATTTAAATTTGAAACTAAACAAAAGACATAAAATAATGTTAACAGTTTCCAATGGTTCCCACCTTGTGTTTATAACCTCACCTTTTATAGCAATTGCTGCTAACCTATTTGAATACCTGGTGTTTTAGGCTTCAGCTTTGTATTTCTATGTATTTGCACAATATAATGAGACACCTTTTGAGAGGAGACTCAAGTCTGAACACAAAATTCACTTATAGTGCATATACAGCTTATGAACATAGCCAGAAGGTAAATCTCTGTAATAGTCTTAATAACTCTGTACATGAAACAAAGTTTAGCACAGATAATGGGGTTGGGTGAGTCTTTCCCCTTACAGATCCTGAGCAACTGTGAGCTTGCATCAGTACACCCCATTACAAAATCAAACAGGAATATTTCATATGTA